ATTCCTTGGCATTACTGTCTGTTATATCTCATTCATATTGTGTTAAAACGCGGAAATACGAGCCCTTAGGTATACATACACTTCTCTCCCTTATTCACTATATATATATATATATATATATATATATATATATATATATATATATAACGCGCGTGCGTGCGTGTGTGTGTGTGTGTCCGATCTTGGTGTCTTTCATGTTGCATTATTGTGCTGCCAGCCCACTTTGTGCAAGCTTTTATTTTTTTCGCCCAAACATGGCTCGCGCATGAAAAGCGTGCGGTTCGCTAGTAACTATTCACACGCATTGTAGTTATTTCCGTCTCCCATAATTTGCGAATAAACCCGGTCTTTTGCTTTAAGGTTCCATGTTATACCTGCAAACGTTTAAACTTCATCGGCCCACCAAACTTTGTCTCCCCTCTCCCCTCGTGAGTTTGTCTTTTCTGGCAATACCGTAAGTTAGCCTTAATTACCAGCGGTTATCCTGCCTAAGCGCTACGTGCCCGGCCCATGTACATTTCTTCTTGATTTTAACTACGATATACTTCACCCTAGTATGTTACCTGACTCACTCTGTTCTCTTCTTGTCTCTTAAGGTTACACTTATCATTTTCCTTACCCACGCTCATGGCGTCGTCCTCAATTTAAGCTGAACACTGTTTGTAAGCATCCAGGTTTTTGCTGCGTAGGCAAGTACTGGCATGGTGCAGCTGTTATATATACTTCCTCTTGAGGGTTAGTGGTAGAATATTACCATTCCTGATTTGAGAATTCTTGGCGAATGTGATCCTCTCATCCTTATTTTTATAGTTATTTCACTCTCATGGTTTGGCTCCGCGGTTTCTACTTGTAATAAGTAGACACCTTCCTTTACAATAGACTTCCAGCGTCTCTGCCCCTATCACGAAGCGCTGTTTTCTGGCGAGATTTTTGCATATTGCTTTAGTTTTATGCATATTAGTTTCTGACCTACTCTTCTGCTTCCTGTGTCTAGTTCAGTAGTCATGAGCTGCACGTCATCCCCTGAGTTGCTCATCAATGTAATGTCATCAGAGAATCAAATGTTACCAAGATACTATTAACTCTTATCCCTAACTCTTCCCGATATAGGGCCCTGAAAACCTCCTGTAAACAAGTGGTGAGCTACATTGAAGAGATTGTATCTCTATGCTTTACACCCTTCTTTATTGGGATTCTATCGCTTTTTTTTTGTGGAAAACTAGTGGCTGTGCACCCGCTGTTGATTTCTTCCAGTATGTTTATGAAGGGTTCCTCGGTGTCCTGATTCCGTAGCGACTGTATCACTGCTGATTTCTCGACTGGGTCAAATGCCTTGTAATTTATGAAGGGTAGGTATAGGGGTTGGTTGTATTGCGTGCATTTCTCTATAACCTGAATGATAGCAAAAATATGGTATACTTGAGTAGCCTGTATGAAATCCTGCTTGGTCCTTAGGTTGATCAAAGTTTATTGTTGCACTGATTCTATTAGGTATTTTTTTATAAATGGTTTGTAGAGAATGGACAGTAAGCTGATCGACCTGTAATTTTTCAAGTCCTTGACGTCTTCTTCTTTATGAATTAAAATGATGTTGGCGTTCTTCAAAGATTCTAGTACTTTTCTTGTAAAGAGACTCTTCGCATATATAGTTAATTGCCAGTTTTCCTAACACAAGTTTTCCACCATCTTTCGCCAAGTTCGTTGTTATGTTATTCTCACCAGTGGCTTTGTCTGTTACTATTCCTTCTAGGGCTTTCATTACTTCCCCTGTCGTTACTGGTAAGATGTCGAATACATCTGGCCTAAATTCCTTCGTACGGTATCATCCTGGTTGTTTCAAATTCTGTACTGTCTATAGCCCTCCTCCTCCACCTCAACTATCCTATCCCGATTGCTGAGGATATTGAGCTTCCTGTCCCTAATGCATACATCTGCCTTTTTGCCTATAGAAAAATTTGCCTACGCAGCTGTTAGGCGTTTGCCACTCTTCACAGCCCACTCGATTATCCCCATGTTATATCTTCTTATATTGGCTACCATAGACCCATTAATTAACTGCGAAAGCTCCACTAGCTTCATTTTGCCAGTTGCATTTCAGGCTTCCGTGGTTTGTAGTCTCCTAATGAGACTTTTCGTCCAGTGTGATAGTTTGCCTGTGTCGAGTCTAGTGATTGTACTCCCGCATTCCAATGCACGCTGTTTCATGATGCTAGTAAGGTTATTGCCCATTGTGTAAACGTAAACGTCAGTTACCTCAGTTTGAGCCACGAATCTATTCTGAAGCGCAACTGAATTCCTTTAGTTTTCCTCTTACCACCAGCATATTAATTGGCTTCTTGCATATCACTTTATGCCATTGCTTTTTTAATCGAGTGGAATTCATGCTTTTTCTATAATCACTGCATCGGATCATGCCAACTACTTTTACAACCTGTAAAGGCCTGGGTTTGCAGACAAAATGAAGTCGAGTTAATTTGTAGTTTCGCCATTAGAACTCCGCCACGTGTACTTACGATTCGCCCGTATTCCGCAGGCAATATTCAAGATAAGTGAATTATTACGTTTCGCGAACAATACTAATTACTACTCTCTCTCAGTTCTAGAGTCGATGCCAATATTAGTAGCGCGTCACTATAGCCGCTATCACCTGCACCACGGCGTTCTGCTGAAGAGAATTGGCAGATCCCACGTACAGTAGGAATCGATGATATAGAAAGCACGAATGAGAAGAGCTGATATGTCACTTTAAAATCAGCACAACGTTACGAGGCAGACGTAAATTATGCCGTACATGACTTCCGTGTCATGATTATTATGCTTGGACGGGTCATTTACCTTCACGATCCATTCCCATCATGTGATACCAAATTTGGTATATGTGGAGGTAGCGAAACGGCTGCGAACGCGCTATGAGCGTAGCATGTGTTTTACATGACACGCATATCAAGATTATCATGTTTGAACGTGTCGTTTCCTTCGTCACCCGTTCACTTCACGTGATACGAAATTTTGTATGTGAAGCTAGCGAAACGGCCGTGAGCGCATCACGAGCATGGCATGTGGTGATGTTCTTACATGGCACGCATGACATGATTATCATGTTTGCACCTGCCATATACTTTTATCATCAATTGATGTCCCGTAACACCAAATTTGGTATTATGTAAACATGGCGAAACAACCACGAGCGCACTATGAGCGTAGCATGTAATCAAGTTTTACATGACACGCATGTCATGGTTATCAAGTTTGGACGTGTCATTTACCTTCGTCGTCTTTTGACCTCACCTGATACCAAATTTGGTATGTCAACTAGCGAATCAGCCGCGAGCGCGCTATGAGCGTAGCATGAAGTCATGTTGTACATGACACGCATATCATGATTATCATGTTTAGAGGTGCCATTTACCTTCATCGCCCATTAACGTTACTCGATACCAATATTGATATAACTGAAGCTAGCGAAGCAGCCGCGAGCGTACTATGAGCGTAGCATGTAGTCATGTTTTACATGAAATTCATGTCATGATTATCATGCTTGGACGTATCATTCACTTTCGTCGTCTATTCACCTCACGTGACAACGAATTTGGCATATGTGGAGCTAGTAAAACGGACGCGAGTGCGCTATGAGCGTAGCATGTACTCATGTTTGACATGACATGCATATCATGAGTATAATGTTTTCACCAGTTATATACCTTCATCATCCATTCACATCCCGCAATACTAAATTTTGATGTATGTGAAGATAGCAAAAGGACTGTACGCGCACCATGAGCGTGGTGTGTAGTCATGACTTACATGACGTGCATGTCATGATTTCCCAATTAGGGTCTGTTACTTATGTTCGCCATGCGGTCATTTTCATACCATACCAGTTTTGCAATGTCATGTGAACGAAACCACCGCAAGAGCAGCAAGACCATGAAATTTAAATCAGGACATTTATGACATACACATCACGATTTTCATGTTATTACTAGTCAGATGTGTTCTTCATGCAATCGTGTTATGCCATACCAATTTTGGTAATGATCCCATTACCGAAACGGCCAGGAGAGCTTACAGTCGTAGGAGGCTAGATAGATAGATAGATAGATAGATAGATAGATAGATAGATAGATAGATAGATAGATAGATAGATAGATAGATAGATAGATAGATAGATAGATAGATAGATAGATACGCTCAAAGTCACCGAATTTCGCTAAGTGGTTCGAATTTAAATTAAAATAGCGACAGTGGTCTAGTGGATTTGCGCAGTGTACTGCGCAGCAGCCTTGTGGTCTATCTCAGCGACTTTTGAATAAGAAAAGTGAGGGCCTCAAAAAGAAGCCAGGTAGAGCCAGTGGCTTTGCTGGGCCCTATTTTAATAATCATCTCACATTCTTAAAGCAATTAAGCGCCACCTTTCTTCTTGAAACCCTGTGAAGTATACGTATTAGAAAAGACGCCGGCTAATTGCTAGCAACTACAATCGCAAATATAAGTAACATCATATCATGTGGAAGAAAGGCAGAGCTCAATAGCTCTTTCTATTTTAGTAACTATAACATGCAAATAACTAAGAATAATTTTCCTCTCCGGTCATCCTCGGTCTGTGCTTTTTGTATTATGTCCTGTATGCTTCAGAGGATTCAAACCAACAGACTCTGCAGATCATTACTCTTCTGAGGAGACTATAACATTGTTCAGGGACAGCTTGCTTAAGCGTATATTTCTTCTGCTTTCTTTGTGTGTGCCCTTAAGTTTTCACAAGCAACGTAACGAATGCAAAATAATGACGAGGCATCACTCCACTGCTAATGTGGCACAGCTTATACCATATGCGGAAGCACACTTGCGCACGCTTCAGTTTACTTCTTGTTTACTAGAAAAGCAGCGATATACGAGCGCGGTGTAAGTCTGGCCTACATAATTTCGCTATTGCACGATACAGTCTGCCCGCGGAATAATCGAAACTACGTGGACATTAAGACTACAACTTAAATGGACACCTGGTCAGCAATCCCTCGCCGAGTACTGGGCCCAGAAACTGGTATTGTCCAGTCTTGGAGATGTTGACGGTGCTTGTCAGTAGAGGCTTAATGAAAAAGACAAAAACAAAACCGAATCAGTCAGTCAATGGTTCTTCTGAAGTGCGCTGCTTGATTAGCATAACTCGCATAAGAGCAACTTAACGCTCGACACTTGAAAGTTTCTCTTCAACCTTAAGGTATTTCGCTCCTATCTAACATAGTTTCTTGAATATTTCAATGATTAATTAGGTTGAATTTGTGGTGATTACTACAACCCTTTCGAAGTAAAATTAAAAGCCATACGGCTGCTCAATGTCTAATAGTCGTTTGTATTTATTTCTGATAATGCAGGCCCTAGGGAGCAGCGTACTTATTTGGAAACTCTCTAGACGGATGTAAATATTTTGAGTTGTGAAAAGTGTCTTCCCTATTTAGATTAACTCTTTACTACCTTGAGTTAGTGCATTGTACAGTCGTTATTTCAGCTCATTTAATTTTGCATGACTGACGTTGTTATTTCAAATAATAATCTTAATATTGGTTGCTGTGTTTCACGCATCAATCACTGTGGTGATCTCTAGTGTGGTGGCTGTCCAACCTTACGTCGTCTCAAATCAACCACAAGGTGCTTGCATACGGCACTTCATTTCGTTTCGCTTGATTATACAGCCTTTCATCAACCTTTTTATGAATTCTCTGCTTTAAAGAAATCCAAGATCTACGTTAGATCGGTCTTATACCCAGTGCCATTAGATGAGATATGAGAAATTGTTCAATATGGAATGCGTTTGGAGCGAACGTTAACACAAAAGAAACTTTCTTGGTCAAAGCGGCTCCACCAACCTTCCCGTTGAAACAGTTTTCATCACCTCTAGGGCATCCATTTTCTCCAAAATTTCCGCACTGTTTAGATTACGTACGAGAGACATATGTTGAATGTTGATTACGCACGATGGATGCTGAATTATTTCTAAACTACTGAAATTATCATCCGTTTGTTCCACTCGCTTTCCTTCCAGTTTGCGGCTAAACACACAAGGTGCATCCAAAATCACTCAAAACATCCGCTCGAAGACCTCAGAATAAAGGTACGTGAACACTGGCGGGAAGCATGCAAAAGTGGCGTCCCACCTGTCGGTGCCTCCGCTCCGCAGCCAGCAGCACGCTGTCGACATTGGCGGCGCCGCGCGAAAAGCGAGACAAGAATGGAGCAGTGTTACGGTGTGGGCGCCCTCGTTATATTCCAATTCCATTCCGGGGAATGAGGATTTGCCAAAATTCCATTCCTTTTAATTCCATGGAATGAAAAAAACTGGTCCATTCCCACTCCGGGAATGGCGAGGCAGTTCAATTCCATTCCTACGATTCCTCAGTGTAGAAAATGCATCTCGTTTGTTTTATTACGTTTGAGTTTGAGTTTAGTTTATTTACCACGTACAATCGTACAGTAAGTGGTTGGGACAGAGAAAAAAAAGCGGTATAAAACAGCTTGACAAAGCCCCATATCCCCATGGCAACTGTGGCAACAAAAATGGCAAAATCAAATTAAACACAGGACAGTTTAAACCAGCAATGCATACGCTTTGCATCAGAACTAAAAATTTAAACAAACTATACTAACCAAAAAACGCACATGCTATACATCGAAGAAAGTAATCAAACAAAAAATAACACTACACACAAATTAATAAAGCATATTTAAAATAAAAATATTAAAGTGCATACAAACATTTTCATAATTAATTCCTCAGTTATTTACTATATTTGAATGCCCCCGATATATGGTGCCATGAGAGGCATTACAAACTGCAGAACTACGAAAAACACGTTGCTAAGGTCGAGGAACAGTGGTGGCATATCCCGGCCGTGGGAGCCGTATTTTCGATAAAGGCGAAAATGCTCGAGGCCCGCGTGCTTATAAAAAGGTGCACGTCCAAAAACGTAAGGTGGTCGAAATTTTTGGAGCCCTCCAGTTCGATATCTCTATAATGATATACCGGTTTTTGGACGTTAGAAACCAAAATTATAATATTTCTTGTGCAATAAAACCACTCCTCTAATTCCCGTGGCAGCAGTTCTCCCGCTGCATTTATTATTGATAAATTCAGCATGTTTGAACCAATCGGGATGTTTCAATTGTTTAAGCTCAAATTTCTTAATGCTAAACTGATGACATAGCTTATATTTTGCAGTGAAAAGTAGTGTTCAAGAAGAATAAGCAGTTTTGTCATGCGTCTGGAGTAGTTGTGAATATGAAGAAAACAAATTTAGTTAATGGGGAACAAAATGCTCCAGATCTGCTGGTATTACCACAGCTCGGACACCTTGTTCTTCAGCATCTAATACCGAACACAGCGCCCCATTGCTCGTCAGCACTCACGCGCGTCAAGCGCACCTCACGAGCATGAGTGGGGTGAGGAAAACTTTCTGTGCTTACCTGTGCGCAGGTATGCAATGTAATTCTTGTCGCAAAGGTTACTTGTGTGACTGTGAGATAAAGATCAGGCCACGCATGGAGTTTTCGCCCCTTTCATGCAAGCTATCAATGAGAACCAACCTCGTTTCTTCCTTTAGCATCCGTAGAGATAATGCATTTGTTCGTACGCTAATTTGTGCCATAGTTTCTTTTTTGCGAATTGGTCAATTGTTCAAATTTTCGCACTACGCCTAGCCTTGGCTTTGGATAACTAAAGGCCGACCTAAAGAATGCGTTGTGGCCTTCAACATTGATAGATTGTTCACGCTTTTACACCACGCATACCCTTGGCTTTGGCTAACTAAAGGGAGACCTAGAGAATGCGCTTTATGTGGCCTTCGACTTCTATAGATTGTTCACACTCATACACCACGCCTACCCTTGGCTTTGGCTAACTAAAGGCGGACCTAGAGAATGAGTTTTGACTTTAAACTTCGACAGAGCATGTACTCAGGCTTACATGACCAATTTGAACACGCTATTACAGTAGTAGCCATTAAGGGTGTAGGAAAATATGCTCTTCCCCAATGTCCTCGTTGTTTGGCGATGCGAACACAGATATGTGCCGAGTCTTCAGGACCGAGCGAAGTTACAAAAAAAGGTAACAATTATATAGAAATGATTCCACACCAGAGCACTGGGAGTGTGGGATGACCAGCTCTTACATCGAGATTCAGGAGTGTATTATCTCTTAGGATTGATCTCCCAAACTCCTAACCTTACGAACACATTAAGCAATTGGTCATGGCTCACTAGTTTTTCTGGTCACTAGGTTGATGTAAAAGAATAGTTTAAACGTCCAAGTGATTTTTAGGGGCTGCAATAAAGGTCACAAACAGTACAAGGTGCAAAAATAAGCTTTATTTTGGTTTGGTTATATTGATTGATTTTGCAACGAAATGTTAGGACTGAAATGGGCGCTTCGCCGTTTAGTTTAAAACCCGAAATGTGACTGGACAGCTTTCTAGTTGCTTGATTAAATAAGTGAGATAAGACAATTGAAGTCTGCCTATCTGTTGCAGTTCGCTAACATTAGCTGCTTAAGCGTGAACCGCTGGACACAGCAGCCTGTGCGGCAGGGAATCATGATAGTGTGTCTCTAGCTGCCAACAAATGTGGCAGTGGTGGCGGCGTCACCTGGGTCCCGCCCCATCCTACAAAAAACAGAACATGTGTTTTCTTCAGCGCGAATTGTCTTGTCGGGACTTGGGAAGACGTGGTCGTAGCAGTGGTTATGTAGGTTTTGCTACTTAAGGCGGTTTCTGGAACCGATCATAGTCGTGTGCTGATCACAACTGTGTGCTGCGTTGACCTACAGACCTTCGCTGACCGAGTTTTGGGTGAAGGCGCCCATGTGAGTAAACCGGGGGGGCAGTATCGCAAAAGGTGTGGGGGATAGTATGAGGAGAGATGGAGCACAAGCTGGTATACGAAAGCTTGCAGTGCACAAAAGCATCACGCCAGCGTTAATAGCATCACAACGCTTAGACGAGTTTTTTTTCGTATATGCATTTGAGTAGCCGATGGCGACAGAAGCAAGCCCAAAAAAGGGAAGGGTGGGGATACATCAGGCAGCTGGGTACTTTAGCTGGGATGCCACCGAGAAGAAAAATCACAAGGATTAAAAGGGAGGGGGGGGGGGAATGCTGCCGTCGTAGTTCCGCTCGACCGTGGTTACGCGAAGAATACCGAGAAACTTCAGAATATCACTACCATTATCAGGAGAGAGTTGTGGTAGGCGCGTTGCTTATAAATGTACCATCCTTATAATTAGCCAAGCCCTTTCAATTACATTGCTTTATTGTTAAATTCTGTGCTCTGATTACTAATGTTTGTAGCTTAAAAAACTGCCCTTAGACGAAAACGGGCTCTATTTTCGAAAAAAAAACCCACGTAAGTCCATTCACATTCCATTCCGGAAAAAAATGTGCTAGATTCCGTTCCCATTCCATTCATTCAAGCATTGTCCCCATTCCGTTCCGGAGTCACGGAATGATTCTGCAATCATTCCAATTCCGGAGTGGCAACTCCGCAAAGACCAGAATGGACGAAGTTATTCTTAAAAGAGAAGAGAAGAGAAAAGTGAGCCCCGTTATTGTTTGCTTCAGTGAGCGACACCGCCACAGTAGCTCACGAGGGATGGGGGTGAGGAGGGATAAAAAGGGTACGAGTAAAGATGTAGGAAAGCCGAAGAAGGAGAAGAGAAGAAGAGACGTGAGGTGGTGAGCCAGAGCGAGCGACGACAAGATGAGGGGATAGAAGAGATAGGAAAGATAAAGCACGGTCACTGGAGTCCGAGGACGGGGCGCACCTGCGAGAGCTCCTTTCGGCGTCGGTGGATGGCGTAGAGCAAGTCGAGTAAGTCAGAGCTGCACTGTCGTCGGAGGTGGAAGGTCGTCGGCGGCAGGAGGTGACGTAGGGCGAGCCCAGTCGGCCAGAGCCACGCTGACGCGGGAGATCGCAAGCGCGCGGAGCGCGCGAGCGCACGACCGGTCGGCCCGAAATCCAGCAAGCGAGTCGACCAGAATGGACGCGCCGAGGCACTTGCACCCCCCTGCTTGCTGCCGGTCTCTCTACAGCCGGCTCGTGATTTGTCTTCTCCCCGTGACCGACGAAGAGAGGAAACGGCATGGGCGAGGAGGTGGTACCAATGTGAAGGGGTATGGACGAAAAGCAGGCGATCATTAGTGATTTGCTTGCGCGGGAGCCGGCGGCAGCGGAGGAGGAAGAGGAGAAAACTTTATTTCAACAGAAGAGTTTGGAACACGCAGGCTCCTGGGCCCCTGCACGATCCCGCTGCGCTCAATCGTTCATTTGGTGGTGCTCTATGACGCAGGCACCCGGGCCGGCAGCCAATGTTTGCCTAACCAGGTCCTCTGAACGTCTCCCAGTCCTCTCAGGTCTTGAGATGTTCTAGGGCCCGTGGAAGAGGATCCGCCGAGCAGTAAGAAAGGTTGTGCATAGCAGAAGAAAGCGATTCAGGGCAGATGATACAGGCTGGTGTTAAGGTAAGGGGTGATAGTGTGATAGAATGGGAGGAGAAGGAAGAGTGTGAGTCTGTAACTGACGCCAGAGGGTGGCCTGTTGGTTGCTGAGGGACTTGTGTGCTGTCGGCAGCGACATAAATAGCCCCGCAAGCGATTTGGTCGGCGGCAGCAATTCCACGACGCTCGGCGGGAGAAAGAAAAGCGGCGCCTCGCGAGCAGTGAGCGGCGCGCGGCAGAGTGCCGCGCTGCCAGTGCGAAACGGCTGCAGGCGCCTTACGGCAGCGCTCTTAGTACAAGCTAATCAACGGAATGCTGTAAAACTGTAGGGTTGTTTGTCAATGTCACTTCATTTGTTATTGAACTGGTGGGAGTCGCTGGATTAATAAACATCTTCCTGTGTATAGGTTACCTACTGCGATATTGATTTAACTGTTGCGGTTGACAAAAAAATGGGGGATTCTTAAGCGTCGCCTTTAAGAGTTGAACGCGATAAGGAAATCCGGCCCCCAGTGCACTCTTCTACCGCTAAGAGCATACTTATTCATATGTTTTGTTACATACACACGCACGCACAGAAACAAGCACAGAGTATATTGGACAAGCGCGCTATTATCGCCCAACGGGCTCGTTTTCATTGTGACACATATCGAACAAAATGCGTTAAAGGGGCCTTGAAACACTTTTTCAAGTAACCATGGAATGAACTCACTAGAAGAGCTTATTGCCTCACGAATTCAACGCCAAAAAAATTTTAAGAATCCATCCAGTGTGAGCAGAGTTACAAAAGTTTGTCGTATGCTGCAATTGCATTATCTCTTGTCTCGTCCCGACGTAAGCGCTGGAAGCTAAGCAGGGAGGTGTAGCAGGGAAAAAAGAAAAAAAAAAAAGCTACCGCGCCTCGTGACTTTGAGCCTTTTTTTTTTTCTTCGAATGTGTGGCTTTTTCGTTGTGATCGCGCGCGCATGCGTGGACAAGTAGCGGCCTCCCGTGGCTATCTCGGTAACCTCATTTTGAAATACGAAAAATGCGGATAAAAAGTGCAACAATAACACGTTTGAAATTGACCCAACCATTGCAGGATCTACTTACACACAGCTTCATAAGCGGATTCCCGACGCAGGACGCAGATTGTATGAGGTAAAGTCAAAACTGAATAACGGGCACCAAAACCAGCCCCAACATGAACACACGCAAACGACGAATCTACGCTATATCGACTCAAGCTAAGCTGACGCTAGAGCTAATATATGTGATGTTGATGGCGAGTGGTAAGCCACTGTTTGGTGTTTTTGGTATAATGTGTGACGTTTTGGTTTCATGTTCGACGGTAGGTGTTGCCTGAGCTTTTTTTCTGAACGTTTTACCACAGGGAAATTTGGACAATTTTGCCAACTACGCCAAAAAACAGAAAAAAGTTTTTCTTCAAAATTTTCTTGTTTTCTTCCGCACCTCGCATCTCTAGTCACAAGATACGCTATCGAGATACAAGCTTTCTGTAGCACGCCTGGTTTTATGAAGCTCCCATAAGCTATGGTATCTTTCTTAAACATTTCCTTTTCTTTCGTTATTTCATACAGCGAAAACACTTACGGTAGTGTCAGTTAAAGGTGATGAGGACGCCTTCATTTTCTAAAAAAATTATCAAGTCGGGCGAGTTTATACATATTCATTTGTGAAGAAATACTGCGCCCACATAAAAGCACATACACAGGAAAGAGATAGAAGGCACCGAAGCGCTGCACCCACAACTGAAAGTTCATTCGGAGATATAGTAGAAAATTAAAAGCCTTCAGATAAAATATTAGGCTATACGCTCACCAATAAAAGTTCGGCAGATCCCACGTACCCGAGAATCGACGTTATGCTAAGCATGCGGAGGGAGGTGACCATGTTGCAATTTTTATATTGAAGGACACGCTATGAAATGACTATAAATATTTGTACAATGTTGAATGGACAGACATATTTTGAAGAGTTGCAGATGTTTATATAACCAGCTGTTTGCACTTGCACAACGATGACAACTAAACTAAATCATGCGTATTAGAAACACCAGAAGATGAAATGAAGTGCTGATGCTCGCGAGGATGCTGCAGCCCTGAACACTACTACATAAATCAACTTCAGCGCATGGCAACTAACCACAATTGACGTTAACCCAACATGATTGCTGTGTCAAAGAAGTACATATGTAATGTTGGTAAAATTGAGTAGGCACCACAGCAACCACTACAGACGTTTCACGAATGTTAGCGTCTATATGAAAAATAGTTCCGCGACATGGCATAGCTCTGTGGTAAAATGCTTCATTGCCATGCAGAATGCTTGGGTTCGATTCCAGCTGGGACCCTGACTCTTATTATTTGCATTCATCGGGTCGACACTACCGACGTCGGGTATTTCTTAAAGCTCGCACGTTAAATCGCCCATCTTTGCTCTCGTCGTTCTTCAGTAGATACTAAGTTTCAATCACCCATGGCACATACCCGCATACCAGGGCACATACCCGCTCGTGGGTATGTGTAACTGCTCACGGGAAGTCTTTGACAACGCACGCGACGGGATTGTGATATTATTCGTGTTTTGACCAGCGCGTCATATTTTTCAAACCATCTTACCTTCCCGTGCTAATTTTGGTTCACGCCAAGCAAAGGGAGTTACCACGAGAGCACCCAAACGTAAGCGGCTAGATAGATCATCATCATCAGCCTGACTACGTCCACTGCAGGACAAAGGCCTCTCCCATGTTCCGCCAGTTAACCCGGTCCTGTGCTTGCTGCTGCCGATTTATACCCGCAAACTTCTCAATCTCATCTGCCCACCTAACCTTCTGTCTCCCCCTAACCCGCTTCCCTTCTCTGGGAATCCAGTTAGTTACCCTTAATGACCAGCGGTTATCCTGTCTACGCGCTACAAGCCCGGCCCACGTCCATTTCCTCTTGTTTATTTCAACTATGATATCAGTAAAACTCAACCTTCTACCCACTCCCTCTGTTCCCTTGAGCAGAGCTCTCCCAGCTGCGTAGCGGCTGTTGCTACAGAAGGGAGTGGAAGGTTGGTTGCTTCTCGGTGTCCGTCTTGTGTTCTCGTAGCTGCTGCTGCTTGTTCAGAGATGGAAGCCAGCACATCTCAAACGCGACAACAACTCGATTTTATATACACAAACTTATGTACATATTTACAAGACTTGACCGCCGGAACCGTCGCATGTTGCCTCGGCAGAGCCGATAGTCAGAGCACTCCTTGTTGCGACCGGAACCTCCTGCGAGGACTCGGAATCCCGGTTTTAATACCTCGGTTGCCCCTTCCGATTCTCCTCCCGGCCAACCAAAGCAATTTAGTCTGTTTATTGAACAGAAAACACACTTGTTGCCGTCCCCTCCTCTCCCTCTCCCCTTCCCGCACTCGACTGCTCGGTCGGAAAGAGAGAGACGAACGGACCGGCCTGTACACCACGTTCCGCGAACTGTGCGAACGCACACAATGGTGGCGGCGTTCGGCTGCGGCCCCCCTCCATTACCGCGGGATGACTACGCTGTCCAGCGCGACAGCCGTCCCGCGGACTCTAAACCTGACGGATGGGTGGCTATGCACTGTTCTCCCGTCACCCGCCGGCATTCCGAGGTTCGGGGACCATTTAGTGGTTTTCTAGAAGCCACGACTGACCGCGTTATCCTTGCCAGAGGGGGCGCGCTTACGCCGAGATTATCGTTTCCCGAGAATCGGCTTTTTGGGACGCGCGCCCGTTTGAGACCGAGAAGACTCGCTTCCATGGCCTGCACCACCAGACCTTACACGCCTTTTCCAAGATTCGCGCAAGCGCTCAAATGCAGCTACGCGAATAACAACCTAAAGGTATGGCGCCGCCCGTCCCCGACCCTGTGGCCACACTTCACAGTTACTTGAACGCCAGAGACGTATCTGCAACACGTGCGACACTTCCTCTGCTTAACCCTTGGGGCCCCACCAAACGGACGCCATCACATAGCAAAAAAAGGGAAAAAAACCGACACGTGGTCACTATGTACACAAGTACAATCCATAAAGCAGGCAAGTCAAACAACAACAACAACTTCTACATGCCTACAGTCGTACATATACACAAAAAAAAACACTTCACTGAAACACACAGACGCCCTTCCGCACATGGTGCTGTTCAAATTCAACCAAATACTAATAACTCCTGCATGCTGCACACACGCACAAGAGAAACAATACACTTCACGGAGGCACATAGACTTTCAACACGTGGTGCTGTTCAATTGTCCACAGGTTCGCGCACGTCACTCTTGAGCGTCCACAATGCACCTAGTCCTCTAGTGTCTCGACCCCCGGAGCACCGCTGCCGATTCCCCAGCACTCATTAGGCACCCTCGAAAGCGCATCTGCGTTGCCACGCTCGACGCCTTTCCTGTGCTGCACCACTACATGATACCGCTGGAGCGCCAAGGCCCAACGGGTAAGCTTAGCCCCAGGAAGAGTGCCCTGGGTGAGAAAAGCTAGTGGGTTGTGGTCTGACACCACGGTAACCTGTGCGCCGAAGAGCCAGAAATCAAACCTTTTCAGACCCCAGATGACTGCAAAGGCCTCTCGCTCAATAGTCGACCAGCGCGTGTGAGTTGGAGAGAACTTGTGGCTCGCAAATGCGATCGGCATCTCGGTACCATCGTCCGCACGTTGCGACAGGCAGACTCCAGCAGCGACCGCGGACGCGTCTGTAAACAGCCAATACGGCCTCTCGGGATCTGGGGTCGATAATGCTGCTGCCTCACACAGTGCGATCTTAAGCCGCTGAAACGCCCTTTCAGCTTCCGCGGACCACGGAATTCGGTTCGGGACTCGCTTCCCCGTTAGCTCTGTCAGGGGCCTCGCTACCTCTGCGTAGCCTTTCACATAGCTTCGGTAGTAGCCACACAGGCCCAGTACGCTGCGTAGTTCTCTTTTAGTCTCCGGCGCCTTTAAACCTTTGATCGCTGCAAGCTTCTCAGGGTCAGGTGCATGCCGTCCGGAACCTACCACATGCCCCAAATACCGGATCGATGGACGAGCTATCTGGCACTTATCCCTCTTGACTTTCAGGTTAACCCGCTTTAGGGTCTCAAACACCCGCCCCAGGTGTTCCGCGTGCTCTTCGAGCGTTTCGCTAAAAACGGCTATATCATCCAGGTATGCACAGCAGTATCCGCTGTGTGGCCTTAGCAGTTCATTCATTGCCCTCTGGAATGTTTGAGCAGCGTTTTTAAGCCCGAAGGGCATTACCATCCAGGCAAACTGTCCGCGATGACACGCAAACGCTGTCAGCAGGCGCGAAGAAGACTCGAGTGGTACCTGCCAATAACCTCTTCGCAGGTCGAGCAGCGTTATGTACTTCGCTTTTCCTACGCTCATTATGAGTTCTTGCTGAAGGGCCATTGGGTATGCGTCCGCCACCGTCCCCGCGTTTAATGCCCGAAAATCGACACAGAGTCGCACGCTGCCGTCTTTCTTAGGAACGCACACCAGCGGATGGGCATACGGGCTCTCGCACGGAAAGATCAACCCCAATTCGAGCAGCTCGTCTACCTGCCTCCCCACCTCGGCCTGTAAGCTTTTGGGTACCCTGTACGGATGCGGGCTTCTGCGGACAAACCCGTCTTGCAACCTTATCTCGTGTGGCCTTACTGCCGCTACCGTCGGCCCCCCGCCAAACTGCTTCACATGCCTCTTGAACACTTTGCAGATCACCCCGCGTTCCCGTTCTGCTAAATGGGCTACCATATCGCGGGATGGAAAAACTTCTTCACTACGCGTTGCCCCTGGCTGTGGGGTGCACTCTACTTCACCGAAATCACCGTCCTCCTCGAACATTACTCCTACCGACATAACCCTGGACTGATATGGGCGCAGCTTATTCGCGTGCACCAGTTTCCGGTTACCGGCTGGCATCTGCACGAAGTATGAATGCTCGCGGTATCTCTCGGTGACACTGCCTGGCCCTTCCCATTTCGGAAACATTTTCCCTGGTCGTTGATCATCAAACACCAGTACCAAGTCACCGACGTTAAACTCTTTTGCCTTCGCCCTTTTGTTGAATTGCGCAGCGTAGGTGTTTTGCGATTTCGAGCTGACCATTTCCGCAACCTGCGCCGCGCGCCTAAGGCGCCCTCGTAATTCTTCCATGTACGCCGCTGGCGACGCCCCCAACTCTCCTGGCACTGCGGTTTCCCCTGTCCAAGCCCTCTTAAGTATACTTAATATACCCGTTGGTTGCCTCCCATACAGCATCTCAAAAGGCGCTACTCCGGTCGTGTCGTGTGGGACTTCCCTGTACCCCCACAGCAAGAAAGGCACAAATTGATCCCAATTCCTACCCTCCTTCTCTATTATGTGGTATAGCATGTTCTTGAAGGTCCTGTTCCATCGCTCGACCGCCCCATTGCTCTCAGGGTGCCCCGGTGTGGAAAATCGAGGGGAGCAACCAAGTTTCGACAAAAACTCTCTTGTCAGTGCCGCTGTAAAGTTAGTGCCGCAGTCGGACGCAATAACCTCGGGTATGCCTGTTCTGCTAAATACTGCCAGCAGCGCATCGCAGGTTGCCCTAGCGCTTAATGAACGCAAACACACCACCTCGGGCCAGCGCGTGCATAAGTCGATGACGCATAAACAGTACTTATGGCCTCGGCCTGATACTGGCTCCAGCGGTCCAATAACGTCCACGTTAACCTGCTGAAACGGATATCTTGGTCTCGTAAGGGGTTCGATCGGGACGCTGTCCCCGCGACGCCAGTCTGCCCTCGCCTGGCAACCATGACAACTGTTGCAGTGCCGTCGTACGTCGTCTCCTACGCCTGGCCAATAAAAACTGTACTTGATCCTAGAGCATGTCTTACGGCAACCAAAATGCCCGGCCCAGCTTGACTCATGCGCCAGTTGCAAAACTTCCCCTCTGCGGCATTGCGGCAGTACCAGCTGCGTTACCGATTGCCCCAAAACCTTATCCTTATGATAAAGTAACCCGTCTATTACTAGCATATTGCCTTTTCCTGTCCCTGCTCCTCTCCACGCTTCCTGTAAAGTCGGGTCTCCCCGTTGTTTCTCGCGAAACTCATCTGACGCGGACCTCTCCTTCACGCCGGCGCTCGGGGCTTCGTTACGCAACACGCTGTCGTCCCGCTGATCCCCTTCATCGCGGCTTGCTACAGCTACCTCGCTGATCAACACCTCCTCGGTCGCGTGTCGCTCTACCAATTCTACCCGAGTGTCCACCTCGTCCTGACGCCACCCAGCCTCGGCGTGCTGAGGCTCGCTTTCGAACTCTGGCTGCTCTGGCTGAGCGCCGCCCACTTCTGAGGTACCCTTCACTACCCCTTCGAGGGTGCTCTCCTCGTGTAGTAGTTTCCATGCTTCTTCGGAAAGTAGGCAATCTGTTCGTGCCGTTAGACGGTCCGTTAACGCGCACAACACTGGGACTGGTTCTCTAACGTCGGAAAACACTCCACGCTCACGCGACATAGTCAGTGGAATAACTGCGAGCTTGGCCTGTACTTTCCCCCCGAACGCCGAAGTCAGGTTGACCATCCCATGCGGTTGCACCAACTCTGGCGGGACCACGCTCTCACGGACTACTGTGATTTCCGCACCTGTGTCTAATACTGCTCCTATATGTTTGTCTTTGCAGTCGAGCGATACTGGGATTAAATCACTGTGTGCGGCTGGGGGACCTTCAATCGAAACCCGCGCCGCCAAGCTGTCTTCTTTACGGTTCGGAAGCACTTCACTCGGCTGTTTCTGACGCTGCGGGCAATTCCATTTCTGGTGCCCTGTACTGCCGCAACTGTAGCATGCCCTGGGCTTTGGTTTCCCCTCCACGATACGGTTTTTCCCAGCCCCGCGGCCCTTCATTGTCTCTTCGTCGGATCTAGCCCTGTTCGCGCTTTGCGACTCCGCCACGCTTTGCTTCGCCTGCCTCGCGGCGCTGTTTGTCCCCTGTGCTTCTTCAAACGTTCGCAGCAACGCGGATATCTCTGGGGCGCTCATCCATGCTCTACCTTCTTGGAGTGTGACATATCGCAAGGCCTCCTCCGACAAATTTTTCTTTAATTGGTCGGCCACCAAAAGCTTGACCAGGCCCTCGAATGTCGACACCCCTCTTGCCTCAAGGTAAAAGTGGAGGTAGCTCTCTAACCGTGTCGAAAAAGGTCTCCACCCCTCGTTCGCACGCTTGCCTGACCCCGAAAATCTTTTTAGATATTCTCCGGCTGAAAGTCTGAGCTCGTCTAGCACCGTTTGCTTGATCACTTGGTAATCTTTGTGCTCTGTTGGGCTTAGCCGCGTGGACAAAAACGGGACTCTCTCCGCTACTAACGGGAAAACTAAACGTCCCCAAAACTCCCCCGGTACCTCGTACGCTTCTAGGGCACTCTCCACGGACTCAAACCACACCGGTGCTTCAGCCTCGGCTGGAAATTTCGGTAACACCCCTGTGAGGACTTTTGAGTAGCGTCTCAGTTCGCTACACGGATCCCGCCTGCCGAACTCGGGTCCACTCCACCGAGAGCTTCCGCCCATCATCTGCGATAGCCTCTCCAACTCCAACCGCAATTCCTGCAGTCTACGCTCCGGCGTGAGGTTTCCGAAACGGTCATCTCTCTGGCTCTCCCGCGCACTACCCTCTAACGGGTTTCCTACGTCGCTCTCGTCCCCCGACTCACGACTCATGGCCTGCGCTCGCCTGTCCGGGTTCAAGTGGGCAAACCTCGTGTCCATGGGACGCCTTAAAACTCAAAAATAAAGGCAGCGGCACCCCTGAGATGTAAGAACACCAGAGGACTCACCACTTTTGAAGTTTCTGCTCGCTGGTTGCTCGATGTCGCCGGGGTTGTCGCCGGACTGATGAACTGGGATGACCGTAGCTGGACCCCTGGCCTCCTCGGGTCGATGGCTGCCACACTGCCGTCTCCTCAGCTTGGTGGCTTGGCTCTTCGTTAAAACAGCCGATGTCTTGGCTTTTGGTCTTGCGTGTTCTCCGCAACACGACGATCTCCTTGTTGCGCAGAGCGCTCCTTGTCGTCGTCGTCTCGATCCTGTCGGACTGCGCCAGTAAAACTCAACTTCTACCCACTCCCTCTGTTCCCTTGAGCAGAGCTCTCCCAGCTGCGTAGCGGCTGTTGCTACAGAAGGGAGTGGAAGGTTGGTTGCTTCTCGGTGTCCGTCTTGTGTTCTCGTAGCTGCTGCTGCTTGTTCAGAGATGGAAGCCAGCACATCTCAAACGCGACAACAACTCGATTTTATATACACAAACTTATGTACATATTTACAAGACTTGACCGCCGGAACCGTCGCATGTTGCCTCGGCAGAGCCGATAGACAGAGCACTCCTTGTTGCGACCGGAACCTCCTGCGAGGACTCGGAAGCCCGGTTTTAATACCTCGGTTGCCCCTTCCGATTCTCCTCCCGGCCAACCAAAGCAATTTAGTCTGTTTATTGGACAGAAAACACACTTGTTGCCGTCCCCTCCTCTCCCTCTCCCCTTCCCGCACTCGACTGCTCGGTCGGAAAGAGAGAGACGAACGGACCGGCCTGTACACCACGTTCCGCGAACTGTGCGAACGCACACAATGGTGGCGCCGTTCGGCTGCGGGCCCCCTCCATTACCGCGGGATGACTACGCTGTCCAGCGCGACAGCCGTCCCGCGGACTCTAAACCTGACGGATGGGTGGCTATGCACTGTTCTCCCGTCACCCGCCGGCATTCCGAGGTTCGGGGACCATTTAGTGGTTTTCTAGAAGCCACGACTGACCGCGTTATCCTTGCCAGAGGGGGCGCGCTTACGCCGAGATTATCGTTTGCCGAGAATCGGCTTTTTGGGACGCGCGCCCGTTTGAGACCGAGAAGACTCGCTTCCATGGCCTGCACCACCAGACCTTACAATATCCTTAACCCCCGTTTGTCCCCTAATCCACTCTGCTCTCTTCTTGTCTCTTAAGGTTACACCTACCATTTTTCTTTCCATTGCTCGCTGCGTCGTCCTCAATTTGAGCTTAACCCTCTTTGTAAGTCTCCAGGTTTCTGCTCCGTAGCTAAGTACTGGCAAGATACAGCTGTTATATACCATCCTCTTGAGGGATAGTGGCAATCTACCTGTCATAATTTGAGAGTGCTTGCCGAATGTGCTCCACCCCATTCTTATTCTTCTAGTTACTTCGATCTCGTGGTTCGGCTCTGCGGTTATTACCTGCCCTAAGTAGACATAGTCTTTTACAACTTCAAGTGCACTATTACCTATCTCGAAGCGCTGCTCCTTTCCCAGGTTGTTGTACATTACTTTCGTTTTCTGCAGATTAATTTTAAGACCCACCTTTCTGCTCTCCCTGTTCAACTCCGTAATCATGAGTTGCAATTCTTCCCCTGAGTTACACAGCAATGCAATGTCATCGGCGAAGCGCAGGTTACTAAGGTATTCTCCATTAACTCTTATCCCTAACTGCTCCCATTCTAGGCTTCTGAAAACCTCCTGTAAGCACGCGGTAAATAGCATTGGGGAGATAGTGTCCCCCTGCCTTACACCCTTCTTGATTGGTATTCTGTTGCTTTCTTTATGAAGCACTATGGTAGCAGTTGATCCCCTGTAGATTTCTTCCAGAATGTTTATATATACTTCATCTACGCCCTGATTCCGCAGTGTCTGCATGACGGCTGATATTTCTAATAAATCAAACGCCTTCTCGTAATCTATGAAGGCTATGTATAGTGGTTGGTTATACTCTTAGGATTTCTCTATTACCTGATTGATAGTGTGAATGTGGTTGATTGTTGAGTAGCCTGTTCGAAATCCCGCTTGTTCCTTTGGTTGATTGAATTCTAATGTGTTATTTACTCTGTTAGCAATTACTTTTGTGAATAGCTTGTATACTTCAGAGAGCAAGCTTATTCGCCTGTAGTTCTTCGAGTCCTTGTCATCTTCTTTCTTATGTATTAAGATGATGTTAGCATTCTTCCAAGACTCTGGTACTATTCCCGTCAGGAGACACCTCGTAAACAAGGTGGCTAGTTTTTCTAACACAGTCTGTCCTACATCTTTCCGCAGATCTGATGTTACCTGATCCTCACCAGCAGGTTTGCCTCTTTGCATGCTCTCAAAAGCTTTTCTGACTTCTTCTATCATTACTTGTGGGGTGTCATCTGGGTTACTGCTAGTTCTTACAGTATTAAGGTCGTGGTTGTCTCCGCTACTGTACAGATCTCTGTAAAACTCTTCCGCTATTTTAACTATCCTATCCATATTGGTAGTTATTTTGCCTTCTTTGTCCCTTAGTGCATACATCCGACTTTTGTCTATCCCAAGTTTCCTCTTCACTGCTTTGACGCTTCCTCCTTTTTTCAGAGCGTGTTCAATTCTCTCCATGTTATAGCTTTTTACATCGCATATCTTACGTCTATTAATCAACTTCGAAAGCTCTGCCAGTTCTATTTTGTCTGTTGTACTTGACACTTTCATGATTTGACGCTTCTTAATTAGGTTCTTCGTTTCCTGGGAAAGCTTGCCAGTGTCCTGTCTAACTACCCTGCCTCCAACTTCCACTGCACACTCCGTAATAATACTCGTCAGATTATCATTCATTGTATCTATGCTAAGGTTGTTTTCCTCACTAAGAGCCGAGTACCTGTTCTGCAGTGACACTGAATTCCTGTACTTTCCCTCTCAGTGCTAGCTCATTGATTGGCTTCTTGCGTATCAGTTTCTGTCGTTCTTTCTTCAAGTCTAGGCGAATTCGAGACCATACCATTCTATGGTCACTGCATCGTACTTTGCCAACCACTTCCACATCCTGCACGATTCCTGGGTGTACACTCATTATAAAGTCTATTTCGCTCTTATTTTCACCATTAGGGCTCCTCCATGTCCACTTGCAGTTTTCTCGTCTTCGGTAGAAGGTATTCAAAATCCGAAAATGATTGCGTTCTGCGAATTCTACTAGTAGCTCTCCTCTGGCGTTTCTAGTACCGATGCCATAATCTCCTACTGCCTGGTCTCCAGCCTGCTTCTTCCCTACCTTTGCATCAAAGTCGCCCATCACTATAGTATACTGTGTTTTTACCTTATTCATTGCCGATTCCACGTCTTCATAGAAGCTTTCAACTGAAGCGTCATCATGGCTGGATGTAGACGCGTAAGCCTGTACTCTCTTCATCTTGTATCTTTTATTCAGTTTAATTACAATACCTACCACCCTTTCATTAACGCTATAGTATTCCTCTATGTTTCCAGCTATGTTTCTGTGAATTAGGAACCCCACTCCCAGTTCTCTTCTGTCTGCCAAGCCCCGATAGCAAAGGACGTGCCCATTCTGTAGCACCGTATAGGCCTCATCTGTCCTCCTAACCTCACTGAGTCCTATTATATCCCATTTAACACCCTCTAGCTCCTCGAATAGTACAGCTAGACTTCCCTCACTAGATAAGGTTCTAGCGTTAAACGTTGCCAAGTTCAGGTTCCAATGGCGGCCTGTTCGGATCCAGAGATTCTTAGCACCCTCTCCTGCGTTGCAGATCTGATCGCCGCCGTGGTCAGTTGCTTCGCAGCCGCTGGGGACTGAGGGCCGTGAGTTATTTGACGTAAGCATGTGGGAGGTAGTGGCCAGATACTGCACCAGGGTGGCCAATCTTTCTCTGGTGAGGGAGTGCGTTCCCGGCGGTGGTTACCGGTGAGGCCGCACCCCAGGCCTCTTAATGCCGTTCCATCAACACGCGGATTTTATTTTATTTTTTTTTTTTAATTTTTTTATCCGGTTGGGAACTGCGCGGCACCGGGATTTGAACTACGGACCTCTTGCATGCGAGGCGGATGCTCTAACCACTACGCCATCGCCGCACCCGATAATTATGTGCTGGCAAACGTGCCTTGAATGAAATGAAGGCTACTCTGGAGATTTAAGAAGCAGCTATGCACATTCATTAATAGTAGGTCATGCTTTTGCTGCAGGAAACAATTACGTGATTTTTTTTACTCCTCTTTGTATCTGAGTGACATTTTTAAAATCGTAATTTACCAATTCTGAAGAATGAGAAAATTCATTGTTTCCACTTCTTTTGGGCTTCCCTTGTGACAACACTGCTCATGAGTGAGCACGAGAGGATGTAGGCAGTCACTGACAAATGTTAGCATGTTACACCCATGTCACACAGGCACGCCAACCTCAGTTACGATGAACATCAGTTAGCGTCCATATTCTAAATCGCGAGAATGAGTGTGACGCGACTTGCTTCACGCGATGAGTTATCCTTAGTTTGGGTTGTGAGGCAAGTCACGTGACACTCAGTTTTGAGATCGAAATACAAAACCTAACCGAGGTTCATAATAACTGAGGTTAGCGTGCCCGTGTGACAAGTGTATTAGACGCTTCCAATTCAAAAAAACCTTTTTCACGGTTCATAAAAACCAGATAAGTCATCAACGTATCTAAAGCATTTAAAAGCACACATTCTCATGACACCCTTCGGAAGGATTCTGTATAAGCTGCCTAAAAACAAATCGCTAAGAATAGGCATGACACAGGAGCCTACATATGCCTTGCTCCCAGATAAAAAGGCTTCCTGTCTCACTGAATGTAAGTGGAAGCCAAGTACACAGCTGAAAGGTTTAACAGATGGCTGTACGGAATGCCAGAAGCATCCTCAAAATTTATCCTGGGGAACTGAATTAGAACATCCTCCATACATTTGATGGGGCAACAAGTACTGAGGTCTTTCCTGTCAACACACGTGGCACACAGGCCTACGCTGGATCAGGGATAATAACGTTCAATATTTCTCTTGACTTTCTTACAAGAAAGGGGCCATTTACTTCCAAAAGCCTAGCTTTTATTAAATAAATGTGACTCAGGCCTTCTAAAACGGCCCTATATCAAAACAATTACTCTTGGGGGTGTTTTTGGCTTATGCGACTTAGCGCTAAAAAATATTTCAGGGCAATCCTCTTTGCATTTTCCAAATTTTGCCAGCACGCTATCTAATTTAAGCATTTCCCAAAACTATTTTGCCGTTTTCTTAATAGTGGACATGTGTACAACCGTGCGGCAATCAAGTACACCAGAGATCGCTTCATTAGCCTTCTAAAAGAAAAGGTCGTGGGACATTATCACGCACCCACCTTCTTTGTCTGCCGGCAAAAGACAAAGAATTGTCCTTGAGAAAAGAAACGTGTTGAAACAGAAGCTTGGAAGATGCCTGTTTACATCAGGTAAACACGTAAACTCCTTCTGACAAGCGTCACGGTTGCTCATATTTGGTTGGCAGGCAGGCAACATAATGCACGTGCAACGACAGTTCTGGAGCAGAAAGCTTTGGTTTCAGGGCAAACTTTGGTCCCAAGGAGAGAAGATTCTGGACTTTAGCAGGGATGACCACAAGTTCTTGCAAGTAAATGGCACCAATGGCTCTCGGCAACTTGCGAGGAATCTGCGACCGCAAGATACACAAACAGGCGATTCCGAACAGACTCGATAATTTTACCAGAGATGCGGAGAGACTCGCGAAGTTGCTCCTTCGCCATTTGTTCATCCATGCTGTCGAAGATTACTGAAGCCAGTCTCTGTCAATAAATCCGTACTTGCCTGCAGCACTCAGACTTCAAAATCTTCATAATCCTTTTCCAGTGACCAGTTAGACAGAATCCGCAGATGAGTAGCCCAACATCTTAAGTAAGCAATGGTCTGCTATCCACGCATTGTTGCATGTGTGGATGTTCGCCTGCTTTTGATAAGTGCTCGGTTATTCCCCTGCACAAAGATGAAGCTACACAGTTGACCCTAGAAACGAATACAATACATGAGCTAGGCCAAGAATGTGTCAACACACCATCTTTACCATTAGCCAGAAAAGAATTCTCATTTCTTCATGCTACCGCATTTGTGCATGCCCAAGGGTACGCCTTTTTGTGTATATATTCAGTGATCCGGCATCCAATGATTCACTGTTGAAAGTTGGCGCTTGTAAGTATTCTCCCTGTCCCATCTTCAACAATTTAGTGCCACACTTAATTTTATGAATATGAAAGGAGAAAGCTCCGCAAGAAGTGGTAAGCGCTTACAGTGATGGGAATGCCTTTCAGCATTCTGGAGCAACCAAAATCTGCTTTTGGAGAAGCTAGCTCTGTGTTTGGTCCACGCACTGGCTTTCGATGACACACACAAGGAAGAAAATTTAGGTTTAATTAAGTTTAATGTTGACTCAGTTAATATAATCATTTATATAGAAGCAGCAAGCCCACAAAATACACAAAAGTAGGATTATGTACAGCAGGGGCGACATAAAAGAGTGGAGAATATTGCACCATTAAGCTAAGCTAGCTGTAGCATGAACTTCATAGCAGTGCACACACAAACATGCACACTTAAAGCTCATAACAGTGAAACCTAGTTAATACGTACATACATGCCAAGAACCTGCCGAAAAGGTGGCTAACTATCCACTAAATGTAGAATGTATGAACCACCAAGTACTTAAGCGTCCGTACGGTTCCCCTTCAGGGGAGGAAAGAAGTTTGTTGCAGCCCCCCCCCCCCACTCAATTATGTCATTATATGAGGCTGGCTTTGTGCCCCTCTTCTCTTGATCACCTCCCTATCATGTCTATGTGTGAGGCCGACTTGCACCACACCTCTCGCCCCTCCCTATTTGTCAATGCATAGATAGATAGATAGACAGATAGACAGATAGATATGCTCAGGGTAGCCTAAGTTCGCTTAGAACTGCTACGCATTTAGAAATCTTTTTTGAGTGTGTGAAACATCACCGAGGGTTGGCTAACACCCATTCATTTAAACTTGATTATGTAAAAAAAATCACAGCATATCCATGGAAGGAATGATGATGAGTGGGGCGAAGCGTCCGTAAATCTGTCCGTCCTTCCATCAGTGCGTCCGTCCATTCATACGTGCGCCCATTCATGCGTTCGTCTATCTAGTGAAGACTTCAAGTACCGCCATCTCTCTTCTTTTTATCATATATTATTATATGCAAGTACCGCCATTCAAAAGACAATCCAAGGACTAAATGATAGTAACTACTACATTTCTGCTGTCAGCGCTTTGTTAACACCGAGAGCATAATAACGACGCCGTGCTACGTTTTTCGTAACACGTGGACATGCTGAGATGGGCCCGAGGGTAGGTATGTGCCACTGATATGCGGGTATATGTGCCGTAGGTTACGCATTACGACAACGGGGACGCAGAAGTCACGCCATAAGGAGCTCCGATCCTAGAAGCTTGCGAGACTTCTCGTGTGAACTGGTCATAGTGCTTACGGTGGTGTTTTAAAAGCCGTGTGTAAAGCAGCATGTGTCACAGTTAGATGGCAAATCAGAAAGTGAATCATCATGTAAAGCAGATAATGCTCACGACATTGCAAAGTCGTTTATTGACATAACAGGCCATTTATCCAATATTGCAAAGATCACAACATAATGAGATGCGAGAAACAGCCCAGACTGCACATGCAGCATTTTGATTTCTTTGGTGCACAGCAGACTTTTTAACACCATACTTAATTTTTTGTATCTGCTTTTTTTCTATAACAAGCCCACGCGAAATTCACTAGCACATACGAAACAATTTCTGTCTTTTAGTGCCTCTGTGAACATTTACAAGGTATGCTAAAGGTGCAAGTGCATCACCGATATGCACTTTACACCGTTCAAACTCCGTGGGACGATAACAAGGCACCCGCACAATAAGCCTTTAGTCGAGGTTATGAACATGCGCTGTCAAAACCAAACGCCCCTACTTGAACTCCATCCGTATTGGGAAAGAGGCGAGGCTTGGCTTTCACCCATACGTTGTCGGGCGCGGGCGGTCATCGTTGGCGTATCATACGCAATCTATTTTCTTGTCGATAGCTGCATCGGTGAACGCCAATAGAAACGGTTTAATGACATTTCCCTCGAAATGTCAAGCTTCTTAGACGACGCATCACCCCTGAAGAAAGATGGCTAGCATAGCAACGGTGGTGACCAGAAATTAAGAGATAGGGATGGTGTTGATTTTTAGAACGAATACCTGCAGCACCGAGCTTAGGCGCTCGAGAAGTACGTACACACCAATTTTCTGAAGGTGCCACTGTGGCTTCGGGTGTCATCGTTAGCATGCGTTCCGATGAGATTGGCGAGGTGTAAATTGTTGTATACCCGAAACAAGCGTTGGCTCTCGTCCGCGTCGGTGAAAAACTGGTTACGGCATTCGACTGCTGACGCGGTGGCCGCATGCTCAATTCAGGCCGAGGCGGTCGCATTTTGATGGAGGCGTAATAGTATAGGTGCCCGGGTACTGTGTGATGTGAGTGTACGTTATAAAATGAAATAACCCTTATTGTTCATGTTATTGTTGCAGAAACTGCCGTTCACAATGTTAAAGAATACAAGGTAGCCAACACTTCTAGAGCTCTCCACCACGGCATCTCGCATAAATAAATCGTTGTTTTGACACGTTAAACCCCATATATTATGTTACATGTGTCTTGAAAAAAAAAACATACAAAATAATAATGGGTAGTGTTTTATGTGCTAAAACCACGATATGAATATGCACAATGCCGCAGAGAAGTGCTCCAAACATTTATCTACCTTGAGTTCTTTGAAATAGAACAAATTAGGACAGCTTGGCCCTAGAAGTGCCAAGCCTGAAGGAAGGACGGAGCTGTGCAGCATTTTTCGTTTGTCTTCAGTTTTCTCTTTGTTTCTTCCCCTCTTTCTGTCTTGTTCTCTTTCCCACTTGTTTTTTTTTCCTCATTACTTCTGTGTACTTCTATTCGTATTTCTTTTTCATTGCTTTCTCTCTCTTTATATTTCTCGCTTGCTTCTTTTTTCCCTTTTTATGCGTTGTTTGTGTTGTGTTTTGCTAGCCATAGTAGTAAAGTCCGCACTTAATATCACCATTAAAGCTCCCAAAAGAAAGAAGGCTTCGCTTTGGCGTGAGTGCGCGCTCAATATGCTACAGTTGGCTTTTAAATGTGTGGCTTAGCCTGCGTTACGCCAAGCGATGATGGCAGCATACCATGGCATAACACAGTAGACCAAAGCAAGGCCCCTGAAGTGGTCCGCATTTAAAATTTGCTGACAAATAATTAGAGATGTGCACCAGCTATCAGCTTCTCTAATGATGATTGATTTATATGTGGGGTTTTACGTCCCAAAAGCACCATATGATTATGAGAGATGCCGTAGTGGAGGGCTCCGGAAATTTCGACCATCTGGGGTTCTTTAACGTGCACCCAAATCTGAGCACACGGGCCTACAACATTTCCGCCTTCATCGGAAATGCAGCCGCAGCAGCCGTGATTCGATCCCGCGACCTGCGGATTAGCAGCCGAATACCTTAGCCACTAGACCACCACGGCGGGGCTAACAGCTTCTCTAAGCGCACAGAAGTTGGCAGAAAGAATGCATATGGTCGATGACAATAATGAAAGTAATGACTGAAGGCAATTGTACAAGTTATCGTAAAATTACGCATTCTCTCTTAAAAAGGGCATAAGCAGTGTAAGATGAGACTGTAACGATTTCACTTCTTCAGATACTTCCGCATGCGAGCTGGTCAGTGTAGCCAATGTACTAAATACTCTCAGCTTTTAAGTTAGTCGGCGACTTTCTATTGTACGCGCTGGCGACACCGGCGTGTACACCAGTGTCGCCAGTGTATGCCCTTCTCTGGTTGCCGCTCCAGGTCGGCGCACCAGCCCCCTCTTCGGTGATTCCAACAATGCTCACTAGATAGCACGCCACCACCCAAGGCGTTGGCCCGCGCGCTCGCCTCTTCGCTACTACGTCCATTTCATTCTAGCCGCTTCGTAGGCACGCCAGCACGTGACAACTTCCTATGAGGATTCTTGAGCGCGGATACCAATATCCTGGCAAGCCCCCTCACCTGCCGGCTCTCAACTCCGTTAAAGAACACTGGGTAGCTTCACGATTGCCATTTATGAGCGTTAGGCATTTGGCTCACGGTCACAGCCAGTATAGCATAAAGGGGCAGGTTGTTAGCGTGCCGATCGACGTGGCCAACACTGTGTGGTGCCGGCCATGAAACATGCCCATGAACTTTGCCTTCGACGCACATATCATGCGCCGGCTCGTTAACAAGCATTCCTATAGAAATGCTCTCTCCAAGAAATGTCCCATGCACCTCCGAGCATGCTGCTCTAACATTATTCACTTTGTGGATATGGTTTTGATTTTTTACACCAGAGTTTCACATTTCACAAGCTGTGCAAACTTCACCTGTTGAAAGTATGGTACCTCTATAGTGTGGGCTGCGTGTAGCACGACAAAGGGCTGCATCCCGATCCAGAAATGAAATATGCCCTCTTGGCTTGTGAGCTGCGCGTATCCGTTGAAGCCCTCGTACATGACTGGAAGAAAGAAAAAAAAAGAGCATTGTGAACTACATGTCTGCTGATCTGTACATGCTGTTGGTTGTTTTGCCTATCCAACGAACTGCTCGAACAAACAGGATGAATGGTGGAATTTTATTTGTAGCCCTGGAAGACACGACTAGCACGCAGAGGGCTTCCCCCACGTAGTGACGGGTAAGCTAAGCCTGACGACCGCATCGTGGGCTCTGGGGATGACCCAAAGCTGGTCGTCTTTGGTGAGCAATCTGATTATGACAGGAACTCCGCAAAGTTTGTTTGTTTTCCCTTCAAAACAATAGAACGTACTCACTCAGGGATGTAGGCCAAGAATGAGTAGTTGAAATTTTCAAAAGTTATTTGAAAACGTCAGGAGATGTAATAAAACAAAAAATAGTATCCCTTCTTCTTCGTAGCCCATATGTATCCAGTGGTTCATTTCCTTCAACCTTACAAAGTTTTTAATTAAGAGATGCTTGGAGCAAATAGCCAGATATTTCAACCACCTGTGGTTTGTTAGCCTACAAGTTGATCTAGATACAAGAGCGTTTTCATAATACGCCCTATTGAAATGCATCCATCACAATCTAAATCGAACCCAAGTCGTAGAACTTATGAGATTGAATCCAAAGGTGCAACCGGCGTGACCAGTGGTTATACAATAAAGCAGAAAAAATTGCCCAGAATTTAAACTATATATATGGAATTGTGATGTATATATACCGTAAGTCCGAAAAACTGCATAGATTTGTGTGCGAAGTTCATATATCTAAGACACCACAAAACAAATATTTATTCAGCCATCTATTCACGAAAAGTATTTTGATGTATGAGGGCATTCGGTTTTTCATTTGAGTTATATTACCTATTGCATTGTCCTAGCAGAATGATTTCGTATAGCGTGGTTTTTTACCGGGACGAAGATTCCGACTGTACGCACGACTTACAACCGCCCCTAAACCTATCATTACGCGTTAACATTATGTTAAAATATTTCAGTGATGCTTACGTTGCTGCAGAACTAATCTCTGAAGTAGTACAAATAAGGTATTACCAAAAATATCACAATTTAGTGATTTACATGTCAATGTTTAAGCGAGTGTCCCGAAAAATCACAGCAAGAACCGCGTGTGAACCCCGAAATGCATCGTGCCTTTTTTTTCCATACATGAGGGCATAGGGCTCCTTAGAACATGTGTGGGGCCGCCTAGTATGTGATGCTTTGGCCAGAGTAAAATTTGGGTGTGTCGGCAGGTGGGATAACCTGTAATCATCTTGCTGTACTATATAGTGTAGCAGATTGTAGTGCAGTATATTATAATATAGTTCATTATAGTTACTAAAATCGTTTAGTATAGCATAGCATAGCATAAATTGCGATTCCACGCAGTCTCTACGTACGAAATTGCGTAGGCGAACTTCGAAACATGCGGCGTGCATCACACGCTGCATGTTCTTTGAAATGGCCTGAGAACTCTGCGTGCACATTCCTGCAGGCTTCAGGCTTCTTCAGTGGACAACTAGCGATGATTCATTTTAATGTGCTGCGTATTGCTGCAGAAGATCACTGTCTGGAGACCCCACCATATTTGACGATCGTTTGATGTGTCGCGTTCCAGGACTAAAGTGAAAAACAATTGTTTTTTCCTCTCGCAACGAGTACATACACACACAAAAACTGTGCATGTATTTCAAGCCCAATAGCTGATTCGTTCCATGCAAATACGGAAGCTGACTGGTGGCAGATTGATTAGATTAAGGGTTACACGATCGCTCGTTTTAATTTCTGAAGATTACCCCAAACAACACATTCCTTCATTTTCCATTTTTGATATATACTACTGAGTGTCATGGAATAAGTTGAAATATTCGTTACAAACAAGTGTGAAGCACAATGTTTGTAACACCATTATACATTCTAAATTAATGTAGTCTTTTATATGGATCGGCTACAACGCCGCGTAATCACATTAGTTCAAAACACCTGGAAATCAAATACTACGAGAAATACGAAACTTAGAAAAAATGATCGTCACCAAGCCATACCACTGTGAATATAAAATATTAACAGCGTTCCAACTTCCCATATATAAACTATTCCTGGAATTTTCGCGCCGATTTAGGAAAGACAAGTGGTCTTTCCAAAGTAAATACAGTGCAAAAACAATAGCGCATAACTTCAAAAATAGTGTGGTAGCTATGGCCCAACAAATTGTGGTAAACAAACTCGTAACCAAAACTTATAACTTTCTAAATGACTACTCGTAAGCTACAGACCACCTAAATTCAAGAATTTTCAAATATGTTTTAGGGAAACAATAATAGTAATATAACAATCAGATGACTAAAACCTAAGTTAAAATATTAAAGATATTTTTTAACGTCTATCGTGTTTTCTTAAAGTGACTCTCAATATTTTATGTTTGTCCTTGGTGGCCCTTCATTGGTGCTTTTCTCAGGCTAATGAGTAATCTTTCTTGTCTTTTTGTGCGTAACTTATGAATTGCTTAGAAAGTGCTTAGCAAGCGGTATGGCACTGATTGTTTTTTGTTTACAGGAAAAGCTGTTATGATATCACAACAGGAGATTTCGGCAGCGTAGTTTTCCCCTGCCAAAACCAGTGTCTATAACTGCTATCTCGCGGAATGTGAAAAACAAAATAAACAAAAAATATTCTCGCTTGGTACCACTGTAGTGCACGGTTGCCTTAACAGTTTTTTTTTTTCAAATTTATTGATCGCATTGAAATTCTCTAAATTCTGAGAAGAACAGGTGGAACTGCCAAGTTTTTTATTCTCACTCAGCATTTGTTCCCGCTGAACATTCCTTAGTTACGAGTGTTGCAAAATTAAACGACCACTCGCAGCCTTCAAAAAACTGACCTTGTAGTATCATGAATTGTATGCCCTTTACATCATGCAACATATACAGCTTAGTGACTTGCTCAACTTTCCTCCCTCTTTACCACTTGTACCTTTATTACTTTTACATTACTTTATGCACATGACTTAACTACTTTAACAAACTTGCACAACTCGAGGCGGAGGCTCACTTAAGGGGGATAATGTTGAAAGTAAGCAAAGTGCGATACTTGGGGTACTATTTCAGTTGTTTTAATCAAGTAAACGTTTTGTGACCAGTTATTCTTCATATTCTTAGCCTTTCTGCGACACAAAGACCTCTTGACACAGAGAATAACATTAGTTGCACAGATAGACCGTGTAAAGCAACCCTCTCATACTTCACACACGCTGCTTACGTACCCTCAGATTCCACGCATGACGCAAACCTCTCTTTATTTCGGCCACTTTCTTGATATTGCATTGTTACAACACTTTCCATGCAGTATTTCAGCCTATATTAACCGCCAGATTAGTTGGCTCATACACCAGTAATCAGTTATTGTATAGTGATCCAATAGAATATATACATGATTTTACGAGGTTGCCTCGAATCAAGCATCTAAGTTTACTTAAGCCATAAAAGATTTTTCTATGAATTGATTTGAGCTATTGTTTCCGTCAAGCCTCATGCGACTTTCTGCTTCGCGTGTAGATATACGTTGACAAATTATTTTCGTTGTGGGGGTTCGAAAATCCACTTGAATGATGCCCCGCATGGTTTTGTTGAACCCCAACGCGCTGATGGATTCACCCTTATAAATGGGTGGCATGAGATCGTAAAACATTCTGTAAAGGCCAACATCGTGCCCCCCGTAGGTCAGTGCATGGCATTATTGGCTAGTTCATGTGGGACTCACGTCCTAGCTTGCGTGCGCGCGAGATGCGTCGCCATGACTCAATGAGCTCACACAGTGCCTTGAGGTACCGAATTCATTTTACTCCGGTGTTTTGAGCCCTTTCGTAAGAGCACTATGGCTTTCCCTCGGTCTCCCCAAGAACTGTTGATGCCCAATCGAATACAAAAGCGCGGAAATAAGCTGGGCCAGATGACCTACGTCGACCAATATATATATATATATATATATATATATATATATATATATATAACAGTTCGCAGGTTTGCTTCCTAGTCACTGCGAGGTATCTTTTCAACCACTTTTCTTTCTTCACATTTACATTATAATTGAGGCTAATAACTTCTCCTATACATTCCTTGGCATTAATTTCTGTTATATCTCACTTATATTGTGTGAAAACACGGAAAAATGAGTCCTTAGTTATGCACTTCTTTCTCTTATTCATTAACGAGGGTCTCGTACTGGCAGACTTCGTGCCGTTAGGTTGTTGTATACGAGGGACTGTTGGTCAGCAGCCAGCTCGTAGTAAGGTCACGTGCTACGTGACGCCACACAGGCTCATAAAAACGTGTTCCACACTAGCTGCCATGGCTACCGATGGCGCTGACTGACACTCCCATGTTTAAATTCACATATATACCCAATAAAGTGTATGAGGAATAGCCGCCGTGATAGCTCAGTGGTTGGAGCATTGAACGCGTTATTCGAAGGTCGTAGGTTTGATTCCTGGTGACGGCAAGTGATCTTTTCACCCACTCTTTTTTTTTTCTTCACATTTACATCATAATTGGGGCTAATAACTTCCCCCATACATTCCTTGGCATTATTGTCTGTTAGACTTCATTAATATTGTGTCAAAACACGGAAAAAACGAAAACGAGCCCCTAGGTATACACTCATTTCCCATATATATATATATATATATATATATATATATATATATATATATATATATATATATTAGATCCTGCGTGAGCATTCACAACGTGGTTATTTCGACGTTTCAACCAGAGTCTGGCCTTCATCAGAATTGAGGGTACAGTTTGTTGGTGCTCAGCTTCATACAATTTTAAATCAGAGCGGGAAGAGAGAAAGAGGAAAAGAAAGAAAAAAAATGAGAATATAAGGTGGAATACCCTGGGTGCCCCTTTAAATCTTTTTTCCCCTTCCTCCCTCTCTCTCTCTTTTTTCTCCTTTTCACCTTTAGGATGTCTGCGGTCTGTGTACCCTACCTTTTACT